CTCTGCACCTGGTCATCCTGGGAACAGTAACTGAGCAGCTGGCTGAGCCGTGATCCAGAAGCCTCTTGCTTGTGCCAGCCTTATGGCAAAGGCCAGCACAAGCAAGAGGCTTCTTTGGCACTGCTCCCAAGGTGACTGGGTGCAAAAGGAGAAGGTTCTCCATGGCAAGGAAGGACTCCCCAATTCTTCTTCACAAGGGCAGAGGACAAAGGTGTCTTCCCACTTTTCTCCCCAGCACATAGTTTCAAGTTGCATCCGCCAAACGTAGTTTATTCTATTTTTTCTTCAGGCTGTCCGAAGAAAGAAAGAAAGAAAGAAAGAAAGAAAGAAAGAAAGAAAGAAAGAAAGAAAGAAAGAAAGAAAGAATAGCAGTGCAGCTTCAACCTGTCAGCCAAGTCCCAGCAAAGTTCACAAAGCTTAAGCAGGGTCCCAAACATGAAAGTTCCTTTTTGCCACTGCTTCTTCCCACCATGTCCTCCAACTCTTTTGTCCCCATCATGGTCCTAAAGGCTGCTGGTTCCCTTTGTCTTTCTTGTGCACCAATATTTTGACTGAACACCCCCCCCCCCGGTCCCCTTTCCCCTCATCACCATGCTGGATTTTTCCACTCTTCCATAGGGAGATGGGACCACCCACTTTGGGAAGCACTAGGGAAAGTGATTATTAAAACTTGGGACAGGTGACCAATGTAAGTTTTTTTTTAATGAGAACTTTACAGCATACAAATGCATATTCTGAATGTCTTAGTAGCTAATGCATAATAAACTGCATTCAGCACTCCTAAGTATGCAATATTCCTTAAGAATGCAAGATTGGGTCAGATCAAGATCCAGCTAGCTTCCCTTATTAAAATCCCCCAAACCAGTAGTTTCTTAGTATTCCACCCAAGGACAGGGCCTATCTTTGGCCATCCATATTCTAGAAAGTGCATTACAGAAGTGAATTCAACATAGCAGTAAAACATAAACTACACAGGTAAAAGCAAGCTAAAGTTAAGGCATTAATTTAGATAAGTACATGCTTAGCCTCTCTCTGTTACTCAAATAAATGGTACTTTGAGGGTATCTAACTTTTGTTGCATCATGCCAGAAAGCAACAGCAAAATTTGAAAGCTAATATTAATTACTCTTCCTGTCTAGTGAGGATTCATCAGCTGGAAACCACACAAAAGAAATATGCTAGGGACTGGATCACAAGATGACTGAACCACAGTGATTCAGCCAGAAAAGCAAAATACATTTTTAGGTTGGGTAAGATATAGCAATTGCAGAAGGCACACAGCAGTGTGATGTCCAAACATCTGATATGTTCTCATTCCGTAAAGAGAATTAATATGTTCAACCCAGCCCCAGCGCATACACACCCTTGCCTAGACACCACTTATAGCCTCTTTCCCTATTTCTCCCTCACTAAAGGGGGTTGCAGACTGCCAGAGATAGTGCAAATTGAATCCACTTTTAGGGTTAGGGTTAGTGCTAGGGAATCATGGGAATTGTTTTTTTTCTGAGACATAATAGCCTTCTCTGTCAGAGAGCTCAGGTGCCACAATAAATACAGTCCCCATGACTCCCTAGCACTAACCCTAACCCTAAAAGTGGACTCAATTTGCACTATTTCTGGCAGTCTGCAACCCCAATAACTTTCCTGAAGACCAAAACCCAAATCCTTTTCAGCTACTCCTGCCTCTCCTGTTTATGTTGGTGTTGTGTGCCTTCAAGTTGTTTCCCACTTATGGTGACCCTAAGGCAAACCTCACCATAGAACAGATCAGGCCTGAGAGCACAGTGGAAACCAAGATGATTAAACTGAGGCTGTCATACTTTCACCATGTCTTGAGAAGACATGACTCTTAAAAAAGACAATAAACCTAGGAAAGGTGGAAGGAAAGAGAAAGAGAGAAAGACCACATGCTGGATGGATGAACTCCATTAAGAAGGCCATGGGTATGAATCTGCAAGAACTAAGTAAAGTAGTGGAGGATAGGGAGTCTTGGAGATGTCTCATCCACAGGGCAGCCATAGATGAAATCCACTCAAGGGTGGTTAATAACAACAAAAGGCAAACGTCTCATGGGACTTTCTTAGCAAGAGTTATTCAGAGGCTGAGAAGTGTGACTTGTCCAAGGTCACCTAGGTTTCCATGGCTGAGTGGAGATTTAAACCCTGGTCTCCAGAGTTGTAGTCCAACACTTAAACCACTACACCATGGTAGATCCTCCTGACTATACATTCTCAAATATACAATACAATTTGAACAGGCAGAAGATAAACATTGTTGGGGACATCTATATGAGACCTGGAGGGGGGGGGGAAGCTCCAGGCATCAGGTCTTAAAGGCACTAAAGCATTTAAACCTGCCCTTCTATTCAGAGCTGTTATTAAAATATGTACTGCCTAAGAATTTTACCCCCCCTTGTGTGAAATTTCCCTTAAAAGAAAGTAAAGTATACAGAATGAGGGGACCTTGATAAGGTAGAGAAGTTTATAGGTTCAAAAGCAAATAAATATAAATATTAACCATTGATATAATTGAGTTTTTTTAAATAGAAGCATGCACTTTCACAATGGTGCTTCTGAACAATTATGGAAAGAAAGAAAGAAAGAAAGAAAGAAAGAAAGAAAGAAAGAAAGAAAGAAAGAAAGAAAGAAAGAGGCTTTAAACTGGACTTGATATGTTCATGAACAGGTTTACAGCTGTTTGCTCTTTAATGTTAGGATGTTTATTTCTTTGGAAGCATCACAGGAGACCACAAAGATAACAAAATTACTTGCAAAAAATAACTTAGAAGCATAGTATCTTCTTTTGAAAAAGCTCAAGACAAATTTCACTTTCATAGCTAAGTTCATATCAAATTTTACTTTCATATCTGATCACATATCTAAATAATAAGCATTACTGGGGTTGGGAAAGAATTAACCTATTATTACATTGACCTAGGATTGTTTTATCTTCTGTTGTCTACACTACAGATTCATTCGTTCTCTCCCACTAGATTTAATCATCATAACCCACAAGCACATGTAATACAATATGCCTTTGTAGCTTCTTATTCTCTGTTTCCAAATGATATGTGCTATTCTATTGCTTGGGTTTAGGAGATAGCTCCTCAATGTGAGAGGCTGAAAAAACATATTGTTAGTTATGCTTTTTAATGCTGTGCACTGTTCGGGGCAGACAGGAATTAATTTCATTAATTAAAAATAAATATAATTTAATGCATTATATACTCGTCCCTCCACATTCACTGGGGTTAGGGCACAGGACCCCCGTGAATGTGTAAAAACCGCAAATAACAAGAACACTATGTTTTTACCTGAGAGAACACTTCTCTAAGAATCTCTAGGTCCTCCAGTGCAACTCTGTGGTGAACTTCTGCCAGACATTGACCACAGAATCACACTGGAGGAGCTACAAATGCCTAGTGGCATGTTCTTCAGTGCAACTTTTGGTTAAAGCTGACCACAGAGTTGTGCTGGAGGACCTAGATATTCCTAGAGAGAACACATTAATAAAACCCATGAATAATCTAATCTGCAAAAGTCAAAGCTGCAAATGTGGAGAGATGAGTGTATTTCCTAACTTTCTCCTTCTAAAAATAAATTGATTAAAATGAGCTAAAAGTTGCTGTCCTATATAAGTAAAAACACTTGTTGAACTAATCTTTTGATGTCAAACATGTTGAGAACATATTGCATGATGTAAAAGCCTGTTGCATGCCTTCAACTAATTTCTGTCTATCACAGGGTTTTTTTGGCAGGATTTCTTCAGAGGAGATTTGCCCTTGCTTTCCTGAGGCAGAGAGGGTGTGACTTGCCCACAGTCAACAGGTGGGTCTCCTTGGCCAAGTAGAGATTTGAACCCTGGTGTCCTAGTCCAATACTCAAACCACTACATCATGCTGGCTCTCAATGCTATCACCTACTATATTGTTATTTCAGATTTGTTAGTGCAATGCAATCACTAGGGCTAATATGCACCTCCAAGCTTCAAGAGATGCTATCCTTCATACAATTGGGAAAATTATCTCCTTCATCTGGAAGACCTTTCTATACTTACACACCTAAAAGTGTTATGCTCACTTAAATTTCTGATATTGGTGCTAGAGTGTCAATATGATCATTATAAAAGTGATATTCCTTTTGTGAACTAATTTAAACACAGAGGTAGAATTCAAAGATATATAAATGGACTACAACTTCTTTGTTGTTTATTTCAGCTTTGCAAATTATTTAGTGTTGTTTCCCCATCTTATGAAAGTAACTACCCAGTGAATTCTTGTTTCTGAAAGTTTCTAGTCACTTAGCTGTCTAAACAAAATCACACAGGATACAATAAGAAATTTTCCCCTGACATTTATTTGTTTGGTGCCTTTGGAGTTGGGGCAGGATTCCAGTAAGGCAGTAAACTGAGACAAGAAAGGATCAAAAGTTTAACAGGAAGCTACAAAACTAGAAACAAGTGACAGCAACAATGTTCAGCTTCATAGTGGGTGACTTATCCATTAAATAAGCAGCGTACCATGTAACATTTTCTAAATCTAGATATATAAGAACAGGATTATATGGAGTAGACTGTCCTAGATAGAGTAAATCCTTTGTTTAGTTGTATATTAACATGCTTTGAGCTGTTTTATTAAGCAATCAATATCCATAATTGTTTAGAAGCTACATGGTCACAATGGGAAACTTGGTTTAAATTTCTATGCAAAGAGATTATGTAGCACATTTAAGACTGAGAGAAAGAAGTTGGCAGCATAAGCTTTCATAGACTCTTTTCTCTCAGAACGTCTCAAAGGGGCTACAAGATCTCTTTGCATACTGATCCAGGATACCAAGGCTAGCTATGTCTTTGAATTCTGCTACTTCAGTTTAAATCAGTTCATTTTTATGGTAATTTAAATCAATTCATCTGAGGTCTATTTGTACATCACACATTCTGAGAATTCTTATTCTACAGACTGGCAAACACCTCAGTTAAGTGTTGTTGTTTTTAAAAGGCTAGCCAGCATGGTGTAGTGGTTTGAGCATTGGACTATGACTCTGGAGACCGTGGTTCGATTCCCTGCTATGCCATGGAAACTCACTGGGTGACTCTGGGCAAGTCACACACTCCCAGCCACAGAAAACCCTGTGACAGGGTTACCCTAAGTTGTAAATAACCTGAAGACACACGACAACAACACTGCATGCATAATAAATTAACTGGTGTTTGCTAAATCAGTCATATTATTAAATTCTGGCTAGGCAGTTAAGAATGGAACAGAAGGTTGGTTGCTGATTTCCAACTGATCTCATTTTCCACGGCAGCCACTCAACTGCATGGTATACAGAAGGAGTACCCCAACTCTCATGACATTTTTAGGGGGTTAAAAAACTGCAATTTGAGTGGAGAGATGAGAAAACTGTTGCATTCTTAGAGTTAGGTCCACACTTCCCTGATTTAAACATGAGCTACATCCAGCTGTTAACCCCAATCAGTAAACATACTGAGTCCATGGGAACTTGGTGTGTCAACATGTATGTTAGTTTCATTGATTCAGTGGGTCTTCTCTGCCTGGGAACCAACAACTGGATTTAAGCCCATGGCACCACACCTGTAACTATGGGCCTAAGCAGACTGCCAGAAATAGTGCACATTAAATTGAGGCACTGCCCTGGCTCAGTGCTAGGGAATCATGGGAATTGTATTTTTTTCTGGGACATTGAGCCTTCTCTGTCAGAGAGCTCTGGTGCCACAATAAATTACAGTTCCCATAATTCCCTAGCACTGAGCCAGGGCAGTGCCTCAATTTAATGTGCACTATTTCTGGCAGTCTGCAAAGGCCCTATGTTTGTAAAAAATATTAAATCATGGTTTATTGATTTAAATTACCATGCACGAGCTAATATGAGCCTAAGAAATGCTTGGGGCTAGTGTTATTGCCTCTCCTCTCCTTTTCCCAGCCCAGATAACTACTTTGATAGTACGTAATTTCACTTCCGCAGAATCCCAGCTTGGTATTCTGGCCAAACTAAGAACTGGTTTTAAAGAAACTACTTTTAGTTAAACAAATCTACCGAGCATCTGCTCCCCCAGATGCTCTGAACGTCAAGTCCCAGAATCCCTAACTACTGCTCATAATATTAACCAGCTGATGTCCAAAACATCTGGATGACCAAAGGTTGAAAGGTGCTAAGATAAACAACCCATGTTTTGAAACTGGCTTGTTTAGAAAGTGACAAAAATTGTTTTAAGCCATGACATAGCAAAACATAACACTAAGCCAGGATTCTGTAAAAGTAGAACAAAATGCTGGTTTCATTCTAGCCAGAACCTGAAGGGCAGCAGCAAGTGCCACTTATGACTAGGATTTAATTTCATGTGTAATTCTGGCTGCTAATTCTGAAAAAACTTGCAACCCTTTCATGTTGTGCCATGGAGTATATATCAATGCAGAACCCACAGAAGGTGACCAAAACAACAGCCACCCATACTGCTTTGCCATTCAAGAACCTTCCAATTGAGAATACTTCAGAATATTGGAAATTTGGGAATTATCTTTTTCAATACTGTTATGCTGGACCAACAAAATATCATCTCCTGGGTCCTCAGTAAAGCTAATCTGAACATCTAGACCTAGCAGGTATTATGAACAGGTTGCTAGACCAGAATCTAATAAGATCAACATTAATCTGATCCAATGTGGCAAGAAGTTCAAAAACCAGACTTGGTTGTTCTGTTCAGTAGCTTGCTAGCTTAGTTCAGCCATGAGAGCCCAGGACAGGTACTCAATAAAGTGAGAAAATTGTACTAAAACTTACATTTATGTACTTGGGCATATAACGAAAATTGATGGAACTACAATGGTCTGAGGCTGGACCTGTGTACACAAGACACAACTGAAACACTGCAATGTCCCCATTTATATACAGGCTAGTAGGGAAATTCAGAACCAATGGGGCACTTTGGCTCCAAATTTCAGATCACTCTTCAATTATTCAGCTATCAGTCATACTGAAAACCATCAGAACTTAACCTACAGTATTTGTGTACAGTATGTGCATCCAAGGCACCCATCAACTTGAATTTCACTGGGTTTTCTCAGGTAAGGAATACTTCAGAGGTGGTTTGCCATGGCCTTTTGAGATATTCTTTTGTGGTCTCCCATGCAAGTCCTAACCAGGCCTGACTCTGCTTAGCTTCCAAGATCAGATGGAATCAGGAACCTTGGGGTATTTAGGACTGTTTGTCTAGGTTTTTAGATAGACTTTAACTAATTCTTTTACAAGCATACAACAGAATGACCAAACCAGGTGATGCTTGCCACACTGGTCCCAAACAGGCAAAAATTACCATCAAACTCCAAAACTTATCAGAATAATAAGGAAGCAAGGGGAGTGCTCAAGGTAGCTGCACCAAGAGTGTACCCACACTGTAGAAATAACGCAGTTTGACACCACTTTAGCTGCCATGGCTTCATCCTACAGATGAAGCTCATGATCTGTAGTTTTGTGAGGCACCAGCATTCTTTAGCAGCAATTAGTAGTTAAGACCCTGTAAAACTGCGAATCCCAGGATTTCATAGGCTGGAGCTACAGCATGTAAAGTGGTATCAAACTGTGTTAGCCCTCCAGCGTAGCTGCGCCCTAAGAAACCTGGGCACCTTCGAGGGGTGCTAGCCAACACAACACATTCCCCTCAGGAAAGCCTTGTGGGTCCAGGTAGACAAAGGGGGGGTTGCACACTGCCAGAAATAGTGCAAATTGAGTCCACTTTTAGGGTTAGGGTTAGGGAATCATGGGAACTGTATTTTATTGTGGCACCAGAGCTCTCTGACAGAGAAGGCTCAATGTCTCAGGGGAAAAAAAAACACAATTCCCATGATTCCCTAGCACTAACCCTAACCCTAAAAGTGGACTCAATTTGCACTATTTCTGGCAGTCTGCAACCCCCCAAAGAGAAGCAGCCAGCTGCTGAGATTTTAATTTAACTTGGCCAAAGTTGGCTAAGCAAAGAGCACAGACCCCCGCTTCAAGCCCTGAGTACTTGTGGAGTAGTGGTTTGAGTATTGGACTAGGGCCAGGGGTTTGATTCCCAGCTGGGCCATGGACACCCACTCACTGGGTGCCCTTGGCAGTCACATTCTCTCAGCCTCAGGGGAAGGCCAAGACAAAAGCTGAAGAAATCTTGCTACCAAAAACAAACAAACAAACACCCATGATAGGTTCACCCTAAGTCGGAAAGGACTTGAAGGCACACAACACACACACACACACAGAGCTTCTCCTGGAAAAAAATATGGGGGAAGAGAAAGAGAAAGAGAGAGAGAGAGAGAGAGGGAAGTCTCCCTCCATGACCAGTGGATGAGGAAAATCCCTGCCTTGGTGTCGGCTGCAAGACTTAAGAGGGAACTGGGTGGGCTGCACTTCTTTCCTGACACGCAGAGAGGAAGAGTCGTGAGTATGCGAGCCAGACACGGGTCTCCCCCCCTCCCACGCCTCGCGGGATGGTACAGCCCCCCTTGGGCTCCATGCAGGCGAACCCACTGGGGCAGGAGAAGAGGGGGGGGATGTCTTATTATTTGGGGAGGGACTCCCTTCTCCTTCCCTTCCACACCCACCTTGGCTTTTTGGAGGGCGCTGAAGCGGAGCTGGTGGACGAAGGGGCTCCTCAGGAGGAGAGGAGGAGGAGGGAGCCTCCCACGTCCCCAATTCTTCATCTTCATCTTCAT